ATATATATATATATATATATACATATATACACACACACACACGCACACACATTATCATATATGGTGCGGTGGTTAATTGTCGACATTTTATCTTGCTAATTTCGCACATGCGCGTTGTTAATTGTTGATTTTGTCGACTGCACATTATAGGTAGGGTTAGTTGGATACCTTCTGATGACGATGTTATGCCTCCATTCATCTTCACACAAGTTCTCAGTCTCAACACGAGGGCCTAAATCAAGTGCCTTGAGGAGGTAGTGCTGCCCTGAATCAAGAGGGTGGCTGCTGAAAGACCCTACGTCTGGCAGCAGGACTCATCACAATACCACACAAGCAGCAGAACCCCGTCATGGTTACCAGACAATTTCTGCCGCCACATTACCCCTTACACCTGGCCACTTAATTCCCCAGACTACGACCGCCTTGATTATTGGGTGTGGGTCGCAGTTGAGCAAGAGACCAACAAAACTGCTTGTAACACCAAAGATGAACTGAAGGCAAGGATTATGGCAGCATTCACCAACCTAAACAAGAAGAGTTACAGGAGATTCCGAAGTCGTCTGGAGTCCGTGGTTGAAGCCAATGGCGATTTTATTGAATAAAATCACGCTCAAAAAGATCTATTCACGATCAAGTTGAATCACTCTCTATATTTTATAATAGTGGCCATGTCTTTATATCCCTTTAGATCGGAACAAAACAAAATTAATATTCTCTGTTATTAATATCTTTGTTGTTCAGCACGTAACAATAGGCATAATTTCATTTTAACTGTTTTTTTTTAGTTTTTTTTTTATTTATTAGTTTTCCCTCATCTTATTGCTTTTTACCGCGTTGGTTCTTCCTCCAACGACAACATTTATTAAACTGTATGGATGTAGCATCCATATGATTGGCAAATTCGTCGTAAACAACGTGGAAAGTAAGTTTCGTTGACTACTTGCTTATTTTGATTCTTAGTGTTTAATAGATGAACGTTAATGACGGAATTAACAAACAGTTATGTGAGCGGAAATGAAACGGGTTTCTCTCTTCCTGATAAATATATCTAAATTCTATAATTGAATTAATGTTATCGTGCAGATTCAGTAAATGTATTGTTAGAATTTAGGGAAAACGAAACATTGATTATTCAGAACAGAATGAAGTCTGAAAAAATAGCTGAGTTGAAAAAAACAAAAAAAGCGAAAGGAAGGAAGAAATGCAATCCAACTAAACTAAAGAAAAAAGAAAGAAAAGAGGAGAAAATATGAAATTATGAGGAATAAAGAGAAAGGAAAAAGTGAAAGATAGGTATTAAGAAAACATATTTCATCATGAAAAGCGAAATAATAAGAGATAGGGAGAATTGTATAAGGAAGAAAAGAAAAAGAACAAAAGAAAGGGAGAATTGTATAAGGGAGATAAAAAAGGACAAAAAGAAGAAAGTAATTCTATAAGAAAGATACAAGAAAAAGGTCAAAAGACAGGAAGAATGTAACTGTAAGGAAGAAAAAAGACAAAAGAAAGGGAGAAGGTCGCTGAATCAGGAAGAGAGAAGAAAAAGGACAAAAGAAAGGGAGAAGGTCGCTGAATCCGGAAGAGAGAAGAAAAAGACAAAAGAAAGGGAGAAGGTCGCTGAATCCGGAAGAGAGAAGAAAAAGGACAAAAGAAAGGGAGAAGGTCGCTGAATCAGGAAGAAAAAGGACAAAAGAAAGGGAGAAGGTCGCTGAATCAGGAAGAAAAAGGATAAAAGAAAGGGAGAAGGTCGCTGAATCAGGAAGAAAAAGGACAAAAGAAAGGGAGAACGTCGCTGAATCAGGAAGAAAAAGGACAAAAGAAAGGGAGAACGTTACTGTATCAGCAAGAGTGAAGAAAAGAATGTAATTGTATAAGAGAGATAAGAAAGCACAAAGGGATAAGTTATATATGAAAAGCAAAGGATGAATGTAGTCGTATAAGAGAAGGAAAAAGAAAGAGTGAATGTAGTTATATAAGAGAAGAAAAGGTCAAAGGAGGAAAGCAAGAAAGTAATTTTATATAAAGGAGAAGACAAAGGTAACTGAAGAGAAAGCAGCAAAGAAAGAAAAAAAATCGCATGGTTTTTAAGGAATAACGAGGAAAGGAAGAAACTGGGTATGAGAATTTAAATTAAAAAAAAATGGTAACTTCCAAACTATAAAACGCGATGTGAAGGAAAGAGAAAAAAAACGTGTTAAGTACAATTTGAATGAATTTCTAATACTTTTTTTCAAGGCACAATCAAGATACGTAAAGAAATGTATGAAAATATTTGACGTCAAATGTCATAGGGTTTTTCCTCATTTCATTTTTTTGTGTGTCATAGTTTTTTTGTTGCTGTTGTTATTCATCAAAATGAGACAGAATTGATGTATTTTGATCGAATGGTGAGAAAAATCAACACCAAAATTGTGCGTGCGTACAAAATTGGCAGGAAACACTAAGTTAAAAAAAATTCTCCTCATGTAAATTCTTAAGAGAAAGAAACCCGATCATTTGGATGGGACAGCAGTTGACAGATGAACTGGAGTTGGTTGACAAGTGTAACTTATTCAACAAAGGAAATCCAAATTTGTCAGATTGAGTTTTCGAAAGAAATACACACAATGTATTAAACTTTGAAGTAAAATGACAGCTTTTTATGAGACATGTGAGCAAAAAGTATACGAAAATAGTTCGTAGCTTTTGTTTGATGTTTTCCTTTTCCATTCACAATTTCAAATGTAAATAATAAAACATTTATCTGTTTTTATTGTTTTGAGAGGTCCAAAAATTCTCACTCTTTTGGTTGGAGTGCGATGTTTATCTGTTAATTACATAACAGTGTGTCGTATTATTAATCTTTTATTCCGTTCACTTTGGGATTTTTTGTGGGAGTAATTAATTTTTTTCTCTTTTTTTTTCTTTTCTTTTTTTCACCCTTTTTCTTTATTGTTTGTTTTCCTTATTGTTTGTTTTCCTTGTCTTTTTTTCTTTATTGTCTCTCTTTCTTTTTTGTCCTTTTCCTCGTGTTGCTTTTTGTCGCGTTCCTTTTTATCTTTTTCCTTTTATTATGTTTTATTTTGTCTTTTACTTTGTTTTTTGTTTTCCTTTTTTTCTGTCTTTTGTCTTTCTTTTCTTACACTTTCCCTCTGTATTTTTTATTTTTACGTCTCCCTTCTTTTTACCTTCAGTAAATTTTAATTTATGAGTCGCTCTAAAAACCTTCGTCATTTGCAAAACCTATTGAACAGGATTGAATTGAATACAATAAGCGCTTATAACATAAAGACTGTTAATCTGAAAACAAATAATCTTTTCTTGAGAACTAAAAATATATGACATTTTATGAACAAATATAACATTTTTTCACTCCATTGATTACAACTAAAAAAATTAATAAAGAAAATACAAGAAATTTTGAAGTTCAACAACATTTTATTAAACTGAATGGATGCAGTATTTATAAACAATGTCTGAAACAAGACGAACTTATAAGAAAATAGCAGAAAAGAAAAATATTAGAAAATATGCACACTCAAGCATGAAGCAAAGTGAATATTGAATTCTCTTTTGTAAAAAGGAAAGTTTTTGTTCTAAACAGTCAAACATACAAAGTTATTAACGAAGACATTTTTTGTCTTCTTTTGAACAGCCTATTTTCCACGAAAGCTTTTACTGGTACACGAGTATACAGCGAATTTTCAGATGAGTTACAAATAGCAGTAAAAATCTGACCTCCGATGTCGATATTTCTGCGCGCCTCAGTGGAATTACCGAGATTTTTTACAGCAGTTTAAGGAGAAATTTGTCATGTTCTTTGGTTTAAACACTTGATAGTAATGCTGTTATCTTTATCCATTATCAACAGGAGTGACAGAACTAATTTCAACCCGATTTAAAATCAAAGATATCAATTTCCGTGACTTCCTAAAAATGCAATGAGTTGATGTTAATTTTTTTTAATTTAGTATTAAAAATCCTTAGTAGATAAGATAATTCAGAATTAATCTTTTCTGAAATTTTCATTAATTCCGAGTTGAAATTAGTTCCGCACCCCATCAACAGCTGTTATGTTAATTTATTTTACCAAGACTGATTGAATGAAGCACAACACATGAAAAGTAAGTCCCCGGCAAGATTATTAAGTGATTTCATACAGTTTATCAAAGAAACAAAATGTGCATGTTTCTTTATTAATATCTCTCAAGCAGAAGATGAGCAACGATATCAACCAATACGATTTGTAAAAATTACGATGTCTGATAAAAAAAAAGTACCATGACTCTTGCTATGGTAGTAGAGCTAAATAACACAGAGTGAAGCCGCTTTACACAGGTTGATCTTGAACACTGCCGTGCATACACACTAAGTTAAAACGTTCTCGTTCACTTCCATTGTTTATAGAAGTGCTTGGAAGGAAAATGTGAATGTCTCACCACACAACAGAGGTTTCATCAGTGACCTTGACTTGTGCAGCAGTTTTCAGACAACCACATCGTTCATCGGGTCTGACAACCATCATATTCGCCAGATATCGCCTCTTGAGACTTTTTCCACTTTGCAAAAATCAAATCTCATTTGAAAGAAACAAGATTTCAAGACATTGAAAAAAATCCGATGAGGCAACTGCTCGTTATCGCCCCAAAAAAAATAGTTCCAGGAAAGCTGGATAAAGTGTGTCACTTCAGAAGAGGTCTACTTCGAAGGAGATTAAATGCCGCATGGATATATGTTGTAGTTTTCTTTTCTTAGCTACTGTTCTAATACTTTTTGATCAGGCCTCGTATATTCAGTTCTACACGATAATGACGGAGAAGAATCATTACTTCAAATCCTGGGATGGTAGAATTTAAAGGGTATTAAAAAAGATTTTCTAAGACATTAACTCTTGTAGTTCCAGAAGAATTTCAAAACACACTTTACTTTTTAAAGCATAAATATTGCTTCTGATGGCCTTTTTAAACATTTTCAAAGATGTCCTCCTTTAAACTCTTTAATTAGATATGTAGTTGGACCTTGTCCTTGTATATAATACAATTTATAAGACTATTGCTGCAAAAACACCAGCAATGCTTGCAACAATGGCTTATTCAGATTATGATCCTGGAATCAAGTATTGCCTGACAGACAGAGAAGGAATGTTTATTTATTTTGCGGAAATTTTAAGACTTCCTAGTTCATCAGTTTTACACTTTTTGACACTTTAAATGATTTTCCGATATTTCTCTCTCTCTCTATCTATCTAATATATATATATATATATATATATATATGTATTCAATGTCATTTGATTTTTCTGCTTTTCGATGTACAAAATACAGATTGAATGCTGGAACGTGTTAAAAAAAATTTTAGATTAGAAGAAATTTAAAATTCGAGGGTTAATCATCAAATTACGTTTTAGTCTTATTTGTAGAATATTTATTTTGTTAGTCTAAAATGACTAAAATTAATATGGTTGGATGAAGTATCGTAGTAGGAAAGTCAGTGCGATGTAGTAACAAAAGCCGAAAACTTATTTTCATATCTCGGATTGAAAATCAGTGGGGTCAAAAGTAAAAGCAGGATTATTGCTTAATTCTCACCCACCCCCATATTTTAATCTGCTTTGTCGCACTTTTACATAATCATTAGATTAAGATTTTTAATGTATTAGTTTAATAAATTTTGTCCGTGGCATTACAAGTTACATAAAGAGGAGCCACACAGATTGTTAGTGAATCGTGTATACATTTAAAGCAGAATAAATTGAGATTCCGTCGTTTATTTCTTTCGTGAATGTTTCTCCGATGAAAAACCAAGGGTTAGGAAAACTGAAAATTAGGCAAATAGATGTCTTATCAAAATAGCACTGAATCGGTTACTATTAATTAATTAACAGTTATTTTGTCATGTCATAGTAGGCATCAGTTTATCTTGCGCGATAAAAGTAGCGCCCTGTTTAGTCCAAATTCAGTCCTTTTTTAGTGAGAGTGTAGTGACTTCCCAAGGGCACAGGCCTGGGCAATGGTATATGGAGGCCGTGCGTTGCCCAGACTATATGCAGCCACCTCTCTCTCGGCCAAACCGACAAGATCCAAAGGAATACATGGCATTACATTTGACGACGCCTTAGCTGCAGGAATTGCCGAAAAATTGTCAGTGTTGACAGCCAACTGCCTCCGGAGTTACACTCCAGGTTTTCTGTCTCGATTTACTTCCATTATCCTTTTCTATATTTGTATATGATCACAAGACAGCAGAGATTTATAATCAGAAGGTTCCTTCTCTTGGACTGTTTTCCTGGACTGTCGGGCTTCATCTACCTGAAGCAGCTGGTTATGAGGCGCCTGTTTTCCGCCATTGCCCATTCTCCGGCTTGTCATGTCATACGAGTAAAAAAAATAAAGTGAACACGTTGAAAATATCAGAAGGAAGATGATTACACAGTTATTGCTCCTCTTCTTTCGAAGATTATAAGTATAAGGATCAGATTAATTGAAAAATTAAGTATATTTCAAGTATTAAGCGACGCTCAGAATTCTTTTCCAAATGAAGGTAAGTAGAAAAGCCGTCCAAGATTTATCAGAATTAAGAAATCTTTATTTAATGATGCTCATATTTTAAAATCTACTGTAGCTTACGAATTTCATACTATATTACTGTAGTATTCAAAACAGAATTAACTGAATATAATTAAGTATGTAATATCAACTTAAGGTATACTCCCAAAGAAAGAAAAAAACCCTGTGATCACCCACCAATATAATACCCCCCCCCACCAAAGAAAAGAAAGCAAGGAAAATAACTAAATTTTTTAAACTCCCATTAGGATTATATTTTAAGCATTAAATCAGACTCAAACTTGAGAATTTTTGTAAGCATGACGAGGCTCAGCTAAAATTACCTGATGCTAATAAATAAATAGTGTATTCACTATTTGCAGTTAACGAATGGCAACTAAATGGCGGACGAGTTTGTTGTGTGGCAGGGACAAAAAATGAGGTGTTGTTAATAATATAAAAATGTAAGGATTATAAGAAATAGAAAAAAACTTCTTAAAACTCTAGACAAGCAGAAAAGTACAAAAAATAAAATTAAATGAGGGTAAAATAATCACATAGCTTTTATGTAAAATACGAAGGAGGAGAAAATGGATAATGAAAGCACGTCAAATAATGTACATTATGGCGGGAAAAGAAAAATTATCTAAATACGAAAATAAAGAAAAAGAAATATTAAGCATTTTCTCTCAGATGATGGCGATAAAGCTGAAAGAGGAAAAAAAATGTCAGCTGGGAAATTACGTGACTGCATGTATAAACCATGTCTGCAAAGCGTCGAGCATGTTGATTGTTCACCAAGAAGCCTTTATAATTTCGTTAAAAGCATGAGCAGCGTTGAATGGCGTCGATGACAAAAATATTCTCACAAGTACCCAGAAACTGTTGCTTTTTTTTGCTAAAACGGTTGATGCAACATTAAATTTCTTTCGCATTTGTTTTTCATTAGAGTGACTCGTATTTATTCATGTACAATGTGATTTTTATAGATACTTTCTGGACGTTTTTTTTTCTTTTAATCTGGCACAAGGATACTGTTCTCAGTGAGATTCAGACAATCAATACATTGGTTTTTTTGTCTGTTTGTAATTCTATAACATTTTTGCTGTTCTGGAATTATCTCTTTTGCACTGGAGACACTTAGAAATATATTTAAAGAACTACATGGGAAAAAAAACTTCTAATAATACTAATGACTTAACACTAATTTCTACTCTCGTCAGCGAAAAAAACAAAACCTTTACAGTGGTAAGCCTGATATATTATCTCACTTTCTGTAACTTTACAGCGAAGCACCGGCCTCTTCTCTCCCTCTCTCTCTCTCTCTCTCTCTTTTTCTCTCTCTTTCTCTATGCCAAATTTATTTTATTTTATTTTTATTAAAATTATGTTCAGCCCCGTGCGCGCCACAAGCGGGTATTTTCATTACCAATGAGTAAACCATCAAATTATACCAAATAGACGTAAATATTTATTTCATTGCGTATAGCGTCAAAAATATCACAAAATATCAGAGATGACGATGTACACGATAAATAATAAAAGGATTCATTAAGGGTAGTATGCTTATTCCTTTTGGGCGCGAAACACAGAGCTACAAAAGGTTGGTTTTATTATGAGACAGTGCCTACCTGTCCAGTCATTTTATATTTTACTCCTTTGAAAACGAGTGAAAGACTATTTACAATAATCAAGAATACAAATGGGGATGCAGAATTAATTTCAACGTCACCCAGCGCGACGCGAATGAGTCCGAACTTTTATTGTCGATAGTTCCAAAACGGTAGATTTTATCAAAATTTCTTTGTTATTTTCGAATTAAGCATGTGCATTTAAACCTAAATAGAAATATTCGGGAAATTTTTATTAGAGACTGATCGCGGAGCTTGAAATGCCAATTACCCTTTTAAGGTTCCGAGTAGAAATTAGTTCTGTAATCTATATAAATTACCATTCGTGTTAATTTCATGTCCGAGAAAAATAAGTTAGATAACTCAGTCATATAATCAGTTTTCCTTCGTAAATGCTTAATATATTGTGATATTTTTATTCCATTTTCATCCCTTCGGCAGTTTTTCTCATGTAAGTACTCCGAAATTGTATAAGTAACACGAAATAGGTTATAAGAAGCCCGACCACCTGAAACATAATGAAAATTTAATATTGAGAAATTAAAATTACATTGCAATCGTGAAATAAACATCAAATTTACATTTTCTCAATACTTGTTCGATACCTGTCACTTCGCTGATAGCAACATGGTCAAATTTCTTTATTTTTTTTATCATTTCAACAAAAAAAAGGCGATAATGCCACTAAAACGCAAAGGGTTAATGAGAGTAAAAAAATGGGGAATATTTTAGTGAGAAGAAAGAATACTAGAAAAACATGTTTTCAGGAAAATGGCGATTGACGTTGAATTGAAAATTTTGAAGATCGTATATGGTAAGGAAGCAAGAAACTGAAAGAAATTTTTCACAGGTGAAAGGTGCGAGAAAAGTAAATAATAGAATAGAACTTACGGTTACGGCTAGCGAGTTCAACGGTAAAAGGCTGAGACCTAATTGCCAATCCAGTATCCTGTTTAAATTCATGCGGTCGAGATAACAAAAAGAGGAGCTTAATCGAACAATTGCTATGAAAATATTTATAGAAAAGACAAGAAAGCCATGTCACAGTGCTGATAAAGTGACTGAAGTCGAGATGCCAGGTCAGTTTCGATAAAATTGCAGACCCTTCTTTGTATTTTGTCGAATCTAGCGATATATAGCCAAAATATCATACCAGATATGGCAGCCATATTCAATGTACAGACGTATGGTAGATTTATAAATGTCGAATTTAAATTGTTTGTCTATTTTAAAGTACTACATTTATTAGAAAATATATTCAGTTTAATTACAGGATTTCTAAAAAAAAACTTCAAAGGGTCTCACATTTTCCTGTTAATCAGTTGTCAGAAATTAGCCATCGCTACAGAGATATCCATTTTAACTTCATTTCAATTTTGTATGTATGTATGTTTACCTGTGCGTATGTATAGTTTCATTCAGACGCTTAAACTTATTTAAACTATTTTTTTTATCACGGAATAATTTTGCAAAACTCTTAAAATTATCAGATTTTTTTATTTTATTATTCTTTTATATCTCAAATGGCATTGAGTTTAGCAATGACAATGAAGTTTATGAAGCTAGAAGCGGAAAAGACTCATTAGAAGAACTGAGTACAACGATTATAGAAGACACATGTGAAAAACTGATAGAAGTAAGGACTTAACAAAATACACTGTCATTTTAGACGGCATGAGAAAACTTCTACGAATATTCTACTGGAAATAAAGTGGGGTATTGGTTTTCTATTGCTATTAACTAATAAATCGGCACCTCTTAATTTTTTTTTTAAATAATTGGGAAAAAATACATACATGTAAAAAGATAATAATCGTAAGGACTTAACAAAATACAGTGTCATATTGGTTTGATTTTAAATTGGAGGTGCCAGTATCAAACAAGTACAGAATTTTAAATATCTGGAAAAAAATTTTTCACAGAGATGACACCGAAATCCGAAGGTACATTGAAATAGCGAAAGATACCTTCCAAAAATTAAAAATATTGTTTCTATCTAATATCAGTACTCTTATATGTCAATGAATGCTGGACAATTTCCTCACATATGAAAAGAGAACTTGACGCAACAGGGATGATATTCTACAGAGGGATACTAAGAATACCAAGGATGGAACTTGTGAGCAACGACCAAGTTCCAAGGAAAATGGAAACAAAAAAAAAAAGAACCAGAAAGAGACAGTTGAAATTTCTTGGACACCTAATGAAGAAATAGGACTTGGAAAATTTGACACTCACAGGATATTTAAGAGAAGAGAGTAGAGAAAAGAAGCGAGTAACTAATCTCATGATCTTGTGTAAATAACACATAGGATACGGTTGTTCAGGATACGGTTCCAATTATTCCAATTATGGACTCAAGCATGAGATTTACGTTCCACGGATTTGTCTTGGTGAGGTCCTTGTAATTCATCTTGACCCACGGACGCTGGAACAACCGCTCTTGCAATCTCACATACTTTTTTTTTCTTTTTGCAATAATTAGATCAAGTATTCTTTATTATTTTAGCATTTTGACAGAAATCAAAAATTTCGAAATGCCTAGATGTAGCCGCTAACAGTTTCTTGTATCGCACTTCTCGATTGTGGAACTCTCTTCCGGTTCCTTGCTTCCCTATAAACTTTGATCTTCAAAAATTTTAATACAATGTCATTCGTTATCTTCTGTCTTAATTCTTGTTCGTTCTTCTCAGTAGTATATTTTTCTCATATTCTCTAATACTCGGTGACCTAATGCGTCTTAGTAAGCTTTCTTGGGATGAAATGATAAAAAAAAACCAAGTATCTTCAGCGATCACGAAGTCTTTAACATCTCTGGTTACAGCCAGATAACTTTATTCCAACTCGCGAAGTAAGATGCCTTTCAATTCTAAAGGTCGTTCCTATGTGTTCCAAACATGCAACGATGTCTGAATATTCAGATATGAAAGAGGGATTTCTTGAAAGGAAGAATCGTTTAATCATTACTCTAAAATTTTCAGTTCATTAATTAACATTTACTTTGAAAATCGATACTAGTTTACAGATAAAAAAAACCAGTTCAACAGAGAAATGTATGAGAAAATTACGTAAAATGCTTTATCCTGTTTTAGAAGACACAGCCTACATCAGTTTCATATGGTTGATTTTTACGAAAATTCTAAAAATAGCTTTTTAAAAGACACAATAAAATTGCCAAAGAAGTTCATAGTAATAGCGGTTTCAAAAGAAAAGTCGTTCTTTTGACGCGAGGATTTGAATATTGATTTTCCAAGCGTAGCTTAGATGTGGCCGAAAGTAGGGGGGCACCCAGTGAGGATCGAACTCACTACTCCACGAGGATTGGAATAGATGCGACCAAATGCATCCGACTACAGGGTGGTCCGAAAGTCCTGTCACCCAGACATAATATAATTTTCTATTTCAACACACTGTTGGATATTATCTGGAAGAAGGTTTCACATGAACGATACCAGAATACCCATCAGTTGAAGAACGCCGACGGGAGAGCCTTTGCAATAATCAACAAAGCACAGCTTCGTAAAATATCACACAAGTCATAGTGCCACATCATTTTGTGCCATGAAAATGATGGTTTTCATACAGACCTTCTCGATGTGTGACAGCGTCAGTGAAATTGAATAAACTGAATCCAGTATATGTGCTTTGTATTACTGTATTACTTGTTCTTGTATTGTTCTCGTTACTTTGTTTGTGACAAGACTTTCGAATCAGCCTGTAGATTGGCTATTAGATCCAACCGTTTTAATGTTGAACTAGCTGGAGGTAATCGCCACTAACAGTTACTTTTCTCGCAATTCTCACCCGTGGAACTAACTTTCGATTTTTTGCTTCCCTGTCACCTACAACTTCCAAAATGTATGCGACGTCAATCGGCATCTCCTGTCTTCTTGAACCTTGTTCCTTTCATTAAAATGTTCTCATTCTCTTTCGCTCGCTTTAAATCCTGCGTTCAAGTAGCATTAGTAAGACACTGATGTTTCTGATGAGAAACTCACACTTTGGGCTGCTCCCCCGCCTCTTACTCTCAATCAGGTATTCTGGGGTTTCTATAATTATTGTAAATGATAACACACCATTGGAAAAAATATAAATAGCTCCAAGTACTTAGTAGAAAGGTGTGTATGTAGTCTTGATTGTTGAGAAATTTCTGAAATGCTTTCCTCTAAAATTAGGATGCGTCTCAAGTACTTAGGATTCTTTTCACTCGCTCCTTTCTCTTATCAACTGTCATGACATGCTAGTGACAGCACATTCTGTCAAGAAAGCTGTGGATGGGATAGGGGAGAAATGGGTCCATACCGTTTACCAGAGATATTAGAGCGTAATTAACATGTACCACCTCAATTTAAATTGCGAAACAGTCTGGGCAATTCTGTTTCAGACGCCTGATATTCACTTCGAACAAATACCTTTGATGCAGGCATGAATCCAACTTTCCTTGAGATTTTTCTCGTCATCGCATAACTTGACAAATTGTTTATCATTGCCAACACTCCAGTGATTGTTAGGGAATAGACTGAGTAAGAATATGGGCAAACCACTCCCCCATATCTACCTGATCTCCTCAGTCAGTAAAAGAAAAGATTATGATTCTCAATGTTCATTTTGACAGAGATTGACGCTGCATGATTGTTTTTGTTTAGATATTTTCCTTTGTCGAAAAATATTCAAGGATTTTTGTTATTATTTTATTTAAATAATCAATAAGATAAAAACAGAACTGGCTTTAATATTGAATGATCCAATAAGGGTGGATATTTTAAATCAATCATGAAACATAACTTATATCTTCGAATTTCATTTCA